CGGGATCGTGCCCCATTGCCTAAGGGAATAACCTGGCATGTGTCGTCCCCCCCCCCCCCGGAGCCCATTCCCCAGCCTTAACTGGAGGCTCCCCTTACCGAAGGGGTGCAGGGGCAGCGTCCAGGACCCCATCTCGTTGAACAGACTGTTGAAGTCCTGGAAGAGCTGCTCAAAGCCAAAGTTGTCGTGGAAGCGCATCCCCCCGGGGCCGAAAGAGAAGCCGAAGCCGAAGCCATCGGAGGGTCCCGCCCCAAAGGAAGGGCCCCCGTCGTCTTCATCCTCGTCCTCATCCTCGTCGTCCCGGGTGATCCCCCCGAAGAAGGGATCTCGGGATCTGTGGGGACAGTAGTAGGCGTCTTAGGGTAAGTAGAAGAGGATCCGCCTCACATTTGCATCCCACCCTTCCACCGAGGAGTACACAGGGTTCCCCCCCTCTTCGCAACAACCCTGCAAGGTAGGTTAGGCCGAGAGAGTGAATGACTGGCCGAGGTCAGACTGTGAGTTTGTCAGCTAAGGAAGGATTTGGATCCAGGTTTCCTGAGTCCACGCCTGCCGCTAATCCCGTAGCTCGTGTGGAGAGAGATGTTCACAATTCCCATCCACCAACAAAGCCTCATCACTATATGTGTTATGCAACCCTCCCCCAACACAGTGACTAATATTAGGACGATATTAAATATAATCTTCTTAAAAACTAGAGTACCTCTGAGCATTTAAGGTTGTCAGTCCCCCCCCCCCACCCCACCAGTGTACTCATAGATACAGAGCTGGATGGGACCTCAGTGGACATCTAGTCCAACCCCCTGTACAGTGCAGGAAATTCACAGCTACCTTCCCCCCCACTCCCCCAATTAATGGACATAAGTCTGACTTCAGGAACCACAACATTCAGAAACCGGTGGGAGTACATTTTGACCTTCCCGGACATTCAATTGCTGACTTAAAAGTAGCAGTTCTCTTAAAAAAGAATTTCAAAGGGAGAATAGAAAGAGAGACTGCTGAATTGCAACTGATCACAAAGCTCAAGACAATGCATCCTCCTGGAGTGAATCGAGATCTGAGTCACCTGTCTCATTACCAATGCTCATTTCTCCATGCCTACTACCCCTCTGCATATTTCCTCTAAATCCAATCATGCCTGCTGTTGTCATTCAAGAAAAGAAGAAGAGATTGGATTTATACCCCACCCTTCACTACCCAAAGGTGTCTCAGAGCGGCTCACAAACTCCTTTCCCTTCCCCACAACAGACACCCTGTGAGATAGGTGGGGCTGAGAGAGCTCTGACAGAAACTGCTCTTTTTCAAGGACAGCTCTTATCAGAACTATGGCTTGCCCAAGGTCATCCAGCAGGTGCAAGTGGAGGAGTGGGGGAATCAAACCCGGTTCTCCCAGATTAGAGTCTGCACTCCTAACCACCACACCAAACTGATTCAACTACTATGGTCATTTGCCTGCTAATGTCATTCAGCATCTGAAATCACTCCACTCTCCGCGATATAGGGCAGATGGACTTGCAGGCTAGCCGCATCTGAAGAACTGAACAGTGACTCAGGAAAGCTCCTACCCCGCCACCAATTTTGTTAGTCTTGAAGGTGCTGCTGGACTCTTTTTTTCTACCACTCTCCCAGTGACCAATGTTCCCTCTAAGCTGTGGGGTCTTGTGAGCAAAAATTCTACTTTGTGAGCTGCTGGCATTAAAGTTGTGAGCAGGAGCTTTGGCTGCTGCATAAATTAGTTTGCTCTGGAGCCCTCCTTCCTGAGCTAAGACAAAAATATGTGAGCCGGAGGCTAAAAAAAATGTGAGCTAGCTCACACTAGCTCAGCTTAGAGGGAACACTCCCAGTGACCCCCTGCTCTGTGCCCAGAGGAAGGCCAAAAACCTCCAGGACCCCTGGGCCAATCTGGGCTGGAGGAAAATCCCTTCCTGACCCCAAAGTGGCGATCGGCTTTACCCTGGGCATGTAAGAGAGGGTCAGAGAGCCAAACACTGGCTCGTCCCTTCCTGCTCTGTCCCCCATCTGCCTCAGTTCACACAATCAGCATTGCTGCTAGTCGGCCATCAAGCCTCTGCTTAAAAACCTCGTCGTTCCCGAGTACAGCTCGGCTAAAAAGCCTCCTGGGCCGGCAGGGCAGGCAGCCACTCGACCGGTGCAGCGGAATCAGCACCCCGCCCAGCAAGGAGAGGGGGAAGCGACCCCAGCTGGAGTGCTGCCTGCTGCCCGGGTACGGGCTCAGGCAGGGGTGGTCGTTTATGGGGTATTTTTTTTTGGGGGGGGGGCTTCCTACTAGGAGGCGGCGGACCCGCTTTCAGGGCCACGTGGCCGCTGCTCTCCCACCTGGGCTCCCCGCGGAAGCCGAAGAAACCCCGCAAAAGATCGTTGAGGCTCATTCCACGGCGACCGTGAAGCGAAGCCACCCCGCCGCTTCCGCCACTCCGTCGCGAAGCGGCTCCCGCCCCCCCCCCCCCCCGCTCTCGTTCCCTTCTGCCGTAAAGCGAACCAGCCTTCACGGCGGCGGCGCCTCCTGGGATCGCCGGGAAAACCATAGAGACGAGAAAGGGAGAGAGAGAAGGTCCGTCGCGAGTCTCGCGCAGGCGCTTCCTTCCGCTTTCCCTTCCCAAGGGAAGTCGCGAGGCCGGGCTGGGCAAGCGTGTCTTCCGGGGCTGGTTCCCCAATCCCCACCCCACCGCGTGACTCCTGCTTTTTGGTGCGGAGCGAAGGAAATAGGTTGAAAATAGGAAACAGAAGATCGAGGAAAGACCGCCGCACGTTACGTTACGTTTAAGATGACAAAGTTCCTAGTCCTCCGTAGGGAGGCCAGCCTCCAGGTGGGGCCTGGGGATCCCCCGGAATTACAACTCATCTCTAGACTCTATACTGATCCGTTCCCCTGGCAGAAATGGCTACTTCAGAGGATGGATCCTATGGCATTGTATCCCACTGAGGTCCCTGCCCTCTCCATGCTAAACCCCCCAGATCTCCCGGAGTTTCTCAATCTGGCCGGGAGGACCTGGCACCACTAGTCCTCAGGGCAACAGAGCCAGCGGCTTTGCAGTAGCTCTTTTATTTCCTGTGGCTACGTTTGTGTTGCATTTATGGTTACTAATATTAAATTACAAAATTGATTGTTGTATGCAGCAGCTGAACCAACACTTGTCAGGGGTGCGCTGGGCTGGTCCTGCATTGAGCAGGGGGTTGGACTAGATGGCATGTATGGCCCCTTCCAGCTCTGTGATTCCATGAACATTGCAGGTACTGGAGGGGTTATGTATCAATTCCTTAAGAGAGCCTACATAGTCTCCCGTGGACACAGGGCAACAGGGGGAGAGGCACAGAAGGTGGGCGGATTATCCCGGTGCGATCACACCCCAACATCTGGGAAGTGGAGCACACCCGTGGCTTACTGCCGACAATGCAGATTTAAAAACTAGTACCTCCAAGGTACTTGTAAACGTTTGCCACAGGCTGCCTCCAGACATCTGTGGTGTGATCGGGCCAGCGCGCGGCATCCCCCTCTGGTCCCGTTTACCCGCTGGCGCCGAGGGAAGTACCCGTGTTGTGCCGCTGGCGCGTCTGATCACATAATCGTGGATCAAACTGCGCCAGGGCAATTAGCCACACCTCCCCCCCCCCAGTGATATCTAGCCCGTGTGCCCGGGGCCCTGGTTTTGTTTTCATGACTTTGTAAAGTAGAACAAAGTTTGAGCCCATAAGAGTTGGTTTTTATACCCCGCTTTTCACTATCCAAAGGAGTCTAAGAGCAGCTTACAATCTCCTTCCCTTCCTCTCCTCACACCAAAAACCCTGTGAGGTAGGTGGGGCTGAGAGCTCCAAACTGTGACTGACCCAAAGTCACCCAGCTGGCTTCACTTGTAGCAGTGGGGAATCAAACCCAGTTCTCCAGATTATAGAGTCCAACACTCAACCACTACACCACTGGGTATAAACTTTTGTGTGCCAGAATGAAATGTGGGTCTTAAAGCCACATAGAGCTAGTTTGGTGTAGTGGTTAAGTGCAAGGACTCTAATCTGGGGGAACCGGATTTGATTCCCCACTCCTCCACTCGCACCTGCTGGATGACCTTGGGCAAGCCATAGTTCTGATAAGAGCCGTCCTTGAAAAAGAGCAGTTTCTTTCAGAGCTCTCTCAGCCCCACCTACCTCACAGGGTGTCTGTTGTGGGAAGGGGAAGGAGTTTGTAAGCCGCTCTGAGACACCTTTGGGTAGTGAAGGGTGGGGTATAAATCCAATCTCTTCTCTTCTTCTAAGGGTGCCAACTGGACTCAAAACTTTGTTCTGCTGCTTCGGACCAACACAGCTACCCACCTGAATCTATCTTGTAAGGTAGGTTAGACTAAAAGTGATGGACCCCTATATAGTGCAGCCAAACTTTTCATGGATTTAGCAGATATCTGAACTCGGGGCTCTGCAATACACTTGGCATCTGCATTACACATGAACACTTGAAGTTGCCTTATACTGAATCGGACCCTTGGTCCTTTAAAGGAAGTATTGTCTGCTCAGACTGGAAGCAGCTCTCCAGGGTCTCAGGTGGAGGTCTTCCACATCACCTACTGCCTGGTCCTTTTAGCTGGAGAGGCCAGGGACTGAACCTGGGACCTGCATGCCAAGCAGATGTTCTGCCAGTGAGCCACTGGCCCTCCCTTTAAAAATCCAGGAGAAGCTGCCTTATGCTGAATCAGGCCATCGGTCCATCAAGGCCAGTCTTGTCTACTCAGACTGGCATCAGCTCTCCGGGGTCTCAAGCAATGTTCCCTCTAAGCTGTGGAGTCTTGTGAGCAAAAATTCTGCTTTATGAGCTACTGGCATTAAAGGTGTGAGCAAACAGTTTGGCTTTTGTTTGCTCTGGAGCCCTCCTTCCTGAGCTAAGACAAAAATGCGTGAGCTGGAGGCTAAAAAACTGTGAGCCAGCTCACACCAACTCAGCTTAGAGGGAACACTGGTCTCAAGCAGAGGTCTTCCACATCCCCTACTGCCCGGTCCTTTTAACTAGAAATAGTAGGGATTGAACCTGGGACCCTCTTTGTGCAAAGCAGACTACCACTGAGCCACGGCCCTTCCTCTACAAAACTATTTGAACAAAAGGCTCAAAAAGAAACTGGCAACCTGCCTGCAAATACAACAGTTGAAACCCACTAATTCTGGACAGCCAGGAGTCTTCACACTGGCTCCGTCCTGTAATACATACTAGTGCCAAACATGCTTTGGCAAGAACTGCGGTTTGAATGCAAATATAAATGCATCTGAACATGGAATGCTACACGGCACGGTCTTGCTGCATCTTTTCAGCTCCAGTGCCCTGTTCCCCACGTCTTATGTACAGGGCAGCATCTGGTCACCCACCCAGCCATGTCAAAGACTCCTCACTTTGTGGAAAGGTGATATCGGACCGAAACGCCCCCCCCCCCCCAAAAAAAAAATTACACCAAGCAGAGGGAAGAGCTCATGCCACAAAGTCTTCCGGGAAGCCCATTGTGTTGGAATTAACACTGGGCCCTTTTGGTCACCTCGCTATTTCCCAAGGGGACTACAGAGTGAGGGAAGGGGAGCAGAGATACAACCTTGGGCAGGCTGGGGAAGAAGCCGGAGGGATTCCAGAATCAAAAGGGCACAGTTTCTGGAACATGCATCTGCCATCTCAAGGCAGCTGAAAAAAATCCCAGCAAAATTTAACCGGGGGGGAGGGGGGGGGGGGGGGGACGGGACTGACACAGCTCCAGCCTCTAATTTTTATCACTGCCTGCTATAACTGTGAAATACAACAGAAACACATATTTGGATCTTGTATTTTGGGTCATTTTTACTTCTGTGCCACTGGAGATTTCATGGACAATGGGATATAAACAATGAGCGTAGAGCCCCTTGCCTTCTTGCGCAAATCAAGCCCTCCCACTCGTGTGAGGCTGCCGCCGCCAATTCCACCCTTCCACTGCAAGCCAAGCCCCACCTGGTTCTGTTCCCAAGGACCCACCCAACCAGCAGAAGTAGGATAGGGTTTGGGGGGGGGGGGGGTGAGAGGAATGGGCTGTAGCAGGAAAGAGGGGCGGGTTCCTGTTCAAGAGCACAGCTGAACACTTGGGGAGCAACACACTAATCTCAGAAATATTTTAGGGATTTTGGGATATCCCTCCAGCATTTTGGTGTTGTTGTTCAGTCGCACAGTCGAGTCCGACTCTTCGCAACCCCAGGGACCACATCACGCCAGGCCCTCCTGTATTCCGTCGTGCTCCGGAGTTTGCTCGACTTCACATCCGTTGCCTCGATAACACTGTCTCACCATCTCGTCCTTTGCCGTCCCCGTCTTCTTTGACCTTCAGTCTTTCCCAGCATCAGGGTCTTCTCCAGTGAGTGCTCCCTTCTCATTGGGTGGCCAAAGTATTTGAGCTCCAGTTTCATTATCTGGCCTTCCAGGGAACAGTCAGGGTTGATTTCTTTTAGGATTGACTGATCTGATCTCCTTGCAGTCCAAGGGACTCTCAAGAGTCTTCTCCAGCACCATAATTCAAAAGAATCTATTCTTCAGTGCTTGGCCTTCCTTAATAGTTCAACTCTTGCAGTTACGACAGCTTAAAAACTGGGCCTATGCCTGTGCCTCAGCACGTGGGAGTGGCAGACAAAACTGGGACCCCTGGCGTGTCATAGTAGAAAATCCTTTACTCACACATTTCAATTGCATCTTTGATGGTCTTCCCTTGGCATTTTTCAACACCTGGGAGGGTACCTGGTTTTCCACCCTTGATTCCCACTGCAGACTGAACCCGCAAGGGTTGGCCTGACGCACACAGACTTCCCTCCCCCTAAAAACTGACCGTGGTAGCCGGATGGACGACTCGAGGCCCGGAGAACAGAGTGGGGTTTTCGTTTTTATATACAAGACACATTTATCCATTAAATTTAGAACACAGTACAAAAAAAACACTTCAACTAATTAATCTTACAATGCGGTTTCATATCAATTACTGCTCTTATTCCTAATAATAAAGGGGGGCATTGTAGGAGGAGGGGGGAACTCCAGGTGTTGACTCCTTTGGATCCGCCGGGGGGTACTTTGGGGGGGGGAGTGGGGGAGAGGAGTAAAAGGGAGTAGAAAAACAAAAACAAAAAAAAGGCCCCTACGGCTGAACAGCTCGTAATCTGAATGAATGCAGAGAGAGAGAGAGAGAGGGGAAAAAAGGGGGAAAAAAGATACAAATTCTATATTACATACAATTGAGGGAGGGGGGAAGGGGAGGGAGAGGGTGGCTGGGGTGGGGGGAAACGCCGAGCGTGGCCACGAGGGGCTGAGCTCGCTGGGGCTTGCGAGGGCCAAGCCGAGGGCAAGGGAACTCCTCCCCCGGGGTCCTTCCTTCTTGGTTAGGTCGCTGTCTGTCGGTCGTCTGCTTCCGGTCCGTC